TTCAATGAGAAAAATATGGCTGCAGCCTTTCTGTTTAACAAACATCTGTGTTGGAAGTAAAAGCATTAGCAATTTATTCCCAGTTCTGCTCAGAGTTTCATTCATTCATTCATTCATTCATTCATTCATTCATTCAATTCTCTTTCTCTTAATAAAAACCTCTATGGGGCTGGAGAGATGGCTCAGTGGTTAAGAGCACTGACTGCTCTTGCAGAGGACCTGGGTTTGATTCCCAGCACCCACATGGCGGCTATGAACCGTCCTTAACTCCAGTTCCAGGGAAATCCAAAGCCCTCTTCTGACCTCCGTGGCATTGCACGACGTGGGTGCACTCACATACATGCAGGCAATACACTCATACACATAAAATAAAAATAATAAAATATTTTTAAAAATCACCTACACAAACTTTGTGTAGTGCGGTGCTCTTAGACAGTCTGTACTCAATCATTTCTCCAGACCTATTGTATATTACAGTGCTCTCTGGAAAAACCCATGACCAGGGGACCCAAAGCCTTGGGGTTTACAAGAGTCACTTTGAGGTTTCATCCTGGATAATTTGGATCTGTAATAACCAAGACCAGAGAAACTCCTGACTGGTGTGAGATAACTGAGGGGAGGCAGGTGCTGTGTCCATTTCAGTGTGCCTAAAAGTCACCTGTGCAGCAGTGCTTGTCTGGGAAGCAATGGCACTCTCTTCTCTAACATATTTATATGTGAGTCAGCTTTTAGACCAAATTCTCTATTTTTGCCTTCTAACATAATAACTGTCCCTAGCCTTCTCCTAAATAACCATATAAGCAAACACTAATGTTTCTCTATATTTAAAAGGCAGGTCCTTAGACATTCAGTAGTGTCAACTTCCATAGGGGTGGGGGAAGCAAATGACCCTGTTTCAACATGCCCCACTCCAGCATGGTTCTGAGGTCTGATTCCACAGGGGTTAGGGGGAAGCCTGTGACCCAGCATTTCAACACACCCCATCAGCATGGTTCTGGGGTCTGTGGAACACACTATGAGAAGCAACTTCAGAGCCTTCCAGAGTCTACAGGATTCTCTGTACTCAGAGACGCTCTTTTTGTGTGAAACATAACAGCTGAATACAGGATGTCAGGGAATATACTTTGAGGAGGGTTTCTTCAGCTCTCACGGTCATGGGAACAGTCTCCTTTAACCAGCTTTGCAGGTTTGGTCTGCCGAGTGAGTTGAACAGTGTCCAGAGCATTGGACTCCTCAGTGGAGAACGCTTTAAGAGCAGGAACTGGAAGTTGAGGGACAGGCATGGGAAGAGTGGGTAGGAGATAACAACCTTCTTGGAATTGACTTTGATCTTGAGGACAATTGTCAGCTGGGTTCCATGAAACAATACAGGACAGCTATTGTTAACATGAACTTTTACCTATATTAATGAAGTATCTGGGTCGTTTTCCACAGGTTCTTCCCCTTTATTGTTTTTTGGTAACAGCTTTACTGTGACATAATTCACATATTAGGTACCATTTATATAATTCAGTGTTTTTTCATATATTCAGAGACTTGTGCAGTCATCACCACAGTCAATTTTAGAATCCTTTTATCACCTTGAAAAGAAATCCCATATTCAAGTCTCCCCATTTCCCCAGGACTCAACAACCATGAGGCAACTTATTGTCTGTATGGATCTGTTTTGGTAGACATTTAATGTAAATGAATTTGTAGAGTGTAGTCTTCTGTGACTGGCCTGTTCACTTAGCATGCTTCCAGGATCCATTCACATTGCAGCATGCATGAGTGTTTAATCCATTTTTTTGCCAATTAAATATTCCAACGAGTGGGTATCCCGTGATTTGTTCTGTTTATTCAGTTGACTGCCTTGTGTTGTTCCCATCTTCTGACTCTGGAGACTAATGAAGTTACTTCTGTATAAATTTTATGTTAATGTTCATTTCCATTTCTTTTTCAGATCTACCTGGGAGTAAGATTCTTGTACCAAATGATAATTCTATGTTTAACTTGTGAGGGACTTCAGACTTCTCCAAAGGGCTCACTTTATTATTATTATTGTGTCACCTTGGACTCAGTGGCTCTGAATCATCACTAAGGGTATTGTTTTATACACCTTGATCAAGTGTGACTAAACACTTATTATAAGCAGGTGTTTGTGAGGTGCAAAGAATCAGGCTCTGGTTACAGGAATCCCAAGTACAAATACTGAGCAATGCCAATCAATATAACTTTAAAGGTTGAGGCAGTGTTTATCTAGATTTGTATTTATGAAAACATGAAAAAAATTCAGAGCTAGAAATATGGCTAACAAACAACAGAGGGAGGAGAGGAGGGAGAGATGGAGAGAGAGAGCAAGGGAAGGATGAAGGGAGACAGGGAGAGTGAAACAACAAGCTAGCTTCCTTAGGTAGGAGCTTTGGAGGTTTGGTAATCTTCAGATGATTAAGGCTATTAGATAGAAACCATCATCTGTGAAGTTCACTTGTCTCTGCATAGTGAAACCGAACATTTAGAAACCTTTTAAGTATGAAACAGAGAGGCATATAGATCCTAAGTGTAACTATATGAATCTTCACCGTGACTCTTGCCTATGTAACTAGCACCTGAATTAAGAAATGGATTGTTGCCGGGCATGGTGGCACACACCTTTAATCCCAGCACTTGGGAGGCAGAGGCAGGTGGATCCTCTGTGAGTTTGAGGCCAGCCTGGTCTACAGAGTGAGTTCCGGGCAGCTGGAGCTATAGGGAGACCCTGTCTCAAAAAGACCAAAAAATCCACCCCCCCAAAACAAAAAAGAAATGGATTGTTCCAGCACCCCCCCAACTGCTGCTCCAGAAATATAACTATCCCCAAGGGAAGGAGGATATCCTGACTTCTGACACCAACATTCTTAGAATACAAGGAATGCATTTTTAATAGCATGTTTCAGTTGTCAAGGGCTGGCCAATAGAATAGATTTATTTAGTTGAGAAAAATGTCTTAAGACTCAGTAGTCTTACCATATTACATGGTGTAATACATTCTTAAAGATTAAACACTTTTAAGCTTGCATATAAAATAAAGGGCATAACCTCAACAACCAAAGAAACTTTAAACTTGTCATCACTTGCAATTTAAGAGCATACATTGTAGAGTTTTTGTTGTTGTTGTTGTTGTTGTTTTGGTCTTTTTGAGACAGGGTCTCCCTGTAGCCCCAGCTGGACTTGAACTCACTATGTAGATCAGGCTGGTCTTGAACTCACAGACATCTGCCTACCTCTGCCTCCCCAAGTGCTGGGATTAAGGGTGTGTGCCACCATGCCCACCTAGTTTTTTTTTTTTAAGTGCATAAATCAACATATTTTAAACGTTCATTTAAAAAGACATTTCCTTTTCCCTCCAAAACCTGGTTTGTCCCTGAGAATAGTCTGAAAGGAAATCCTGGGGACTATTAATCACAGGTGCTTTAATAACTTAGAAAGTGTGTATGTAAACACATGGTAATACATCACACTGTGTGTTGAAGTAATGACCAAAATAAACACAGCCTTCACAAACAGATAAAAACAAACACATTTCTCTTGCTTTACTGAACAGGAAGATATCAAATACCCCCACCTTACCCATAAGACACGCTTTCGACTTCCAGGGCTGTCTGCAAATTGACACTGCCCTGGTTCTTATCTGGAAAAGAAATCCATTATAATCATCTCATCTATGATACTCTGTAAGCATTAGAATTCTTCCGAGGGACAAGGCACTCTACTAGGGGAAATCATTTTGCAAAGGCGAATCATTTTTTTTTTTTTCTTTAAAGGTCGGTAGATGTATCATACATTACCAAAGCCGATTACGATTTTTATTAGACTATTTCCTGGGAAGTTTGGGATTCTGTATTCTATCAGGTGATGCTAATTAGTTCTGAGCCAAGCAAGAAGGGTGGAGAGTGTGACCCTTGCCAAGAGTGCAGGGCCTCCCTGGGCTCTTCCATTCTGGACTCTGGGTAGTAACTTCCCCCGGCCTTGCCACTCTCGCCCACCCTGGTGCTGGGAAAGCAGCGGGTCCCCTCCAGGTGCCCTCCAGATGGCCGTGCTGCCGCACAGTGTTGACAAAGGCAGGTCCCGCTCAGGAGTGGTAACTTCCAGCGAGCCTCCTGGTCCTTGACTCAGACCTATTCCCATCAGGTCGCCCGCAGTCCCTCCTCCTGGCGTCACCCTCCCAGGGTGGGGAGGGGACCAGCGCTGGCCTCCCCATTTAAAGGTCTCCAGGGTCCGACTCTCAGGCCGCACCTCCGAGGGACCAAGGGTCCAGGACGCTTCCCTGGACCCTGCTGTGTGGCCCAGAAGGGCGGTTGGGGACTCCGTCAGTGGCCAGCTGGCTGCGGGTTCCCTCCTGGCTGCTTTAAACACTGGGCGCCGCGGGGTGACCCGAGGCGGCGGTACACTTGCGGGTGCGCGTGGGCGACACTGCGGGGCAGCGCACGCCGGAGGCGGACCCCGGGGGCAGGTGGGCGCGGCCGGCGGGGCGGTGGCAGCAAGTGGTTGGGCGGTGCGCATTTCCTCCCCGTGCCGCCCCGCCGGTGCCCAGTGCTCGGCGCCCTTGGCTCCGTCGCTGGGCTCGCGGCCGCCTCCCGTCCATGTCTCTGCCGGTGGTGCTCCCGGGCTCCTGCTGCCCCGTGACCGGATTGTCAGGCGGGCCGCAGGCCGGGGGTCCGGGCGCCGCTGCCGCCCAGGAGCCTCCGCTGCCCCCGCTGCGGCCGCGCTGGCCCCGGGGAGCGCTGCAGCC